GGATGGTAGAATAGACCTTTGTTTTTAAGATGCTCATTTATTTTAGTTTCCAACAAATCATCATAAATCAGATGATGCCATTATGTTCTTTGATGCTGGGAGATCACGAAAATTTCTGTCCTTCCTCTAGGTCACAGTCTCTGGTAAATACTCATAATCAGGCACTTTTAACAAAAAGCCACCAAGAAAGAAAACCCTCCTGTTGATGTTTGGTGACTTGCCAACTTTGCTATTTTAGCTGCAATTTTGCTGTTAGCTTGACTACGTCATGTGTACTTTTATGATCCAGTATCATACAGCGTGTCAGGGGCATTACAGGCTTAAAGAGGAAGTGTTTCCAGCTCCAGATCTCAGAGGGGGGACTGTAACATATACCCCAAAGAAAACAAAGCATAATCGACCAAGAGCTGTGCTAGGGGATAGCCAAATTCATTAGGATACTTTGGATATGATCCAGTAGTTGTTAAGATATTTAAGTGTAGGAAATCTCAGGGGGAGGTCAGAAAGAAACCCTACTCCTTACATAGTTTTGCAGCTAAATGGTAATGACAAATAATGAACAGAATGCAATGCTACATAGAAGAAAAACTATGACATCAGGAACCACTGTTCCTTCATAATAGGTTTAACAGTTTCTTTATTCTGGGAAATGGATCACACACAAAACTGCAGTCATGCCATATCTCTCCTGTTACAAAATGTTAGCTCAGATAGGATACAGCCCTGTAGTTGGATAAGTTGTTCACAAAATAGATGGAATCAACACCTTTACCTGGTGCCGTAGAGATCCCAGGAGCTACTTTGTTGGTGGGAGTTTGCCCCAGTATTGTGTCTCAAGGCAAATTGGTCCTGGGTAGGACCAGATGAAAAGCGATTCAAAACACCACTATGAAGAGAAAACGAACAAGGGCTGATTGATCCATGATCGACTGATCTACGTTGCTATTCTCACCCCTGGCCATGACCAAAGTGACCAAAACAATGAGATTTCTGATGCAAGCGTCATTAGAACCTTCCATCAGAGAGTATCTGGAATCAGCCTTTGAAATAGGATGAGGAGCTCCATAACTCCAGAGGGACTTGGAGCAGAGCCACTACTCCTCCACAATGAAAGTAGGCAGTTGAGGTGGTCTGGAGATCTGACTAGGATACTTCCTGGGTGAGGTGTTTCAGGAATGCCCTCTCCTGAGGCAGATCCAAGACACAGTGGAAAGATTCCATCTTTTGGCTATTTTAAGAATATCTTGGTGTCCCCCTGAAGATCTGGACAAATTGGCCAGGACAAAGGAGGTCTGGGTGTCTGCTTACACTGCCGACTCAGACTCAGATAAGCAGTGGATGGATGGATGAAAACAAGTTTATACAGGTAGTGCAGAATTATTAGGCAAGTTGTATTTTTGAGGAATAATTTTATTATTGAACAACAACCATGTTCTCAATGAACCCAAAAACTCATTAATATCAAAGCTGAATGTTTTTGGAAGTAGTTTTTAGTTTGTTTTTAGTTTTAGCTATTTTAGGGGGATATCTGTGTGTGCAGGTGACTATTACTGTATATACCCATTTCAATTATTTATTTTTACCAGTGAAACCAATATAACATCTCCACATTCACAAATATACATTTCTGACATTCAAAAACAAAACAAAAACAAATCAGCGACCAATATAGCCACCTTTCTTTGCAAGGACACTCAAAAGCCTGCCATCCATGGATTCTGTCAGTGTTTTGATCTGTTCACCATCAACATTGCGTGCAGCAGCAACCACAGCCTCCCAGACACTGTTCAGAGAGGTGTACTGTTTTCCCTCCTTGTAAATCTCACATTTGATGATGGACCACAGGTTCTCAATGGGGTTCAGATCAGGTGAACAAGGTGGCCATGTCATTAGTTTTTCTTCTTTTATACCCTTTCTTGCCAGCCACGCTGTGGAGTACTTGGACGCGTGTGATGGAGCATTGTCCTGCATGAAAATCATGTTTTTCTTGAAGGATGCAGACTTCTTCCTGTACCACTGCTTGAAGAAGGTGTCTTCCAGAAACTGGCAGTAGGACTGGGAGTTGAGCTTGACTCCATCCTCAACCCGAAAAGGCCCCACAAGCTCATCTTTGATGATACCAGCCCAAACCAGTACTCCACCTCCACCTTGCTGGCGTCTGAGTCGGACTGGAGCTCTCTGCCCTTTACCAATCCAGCCACGGGCCCATCAAGACTCACTCTCATTTCATCAGTCCATAAAACCTTAGAAAAACCAGTCTTGAGATATTTCTTGGCCCAGTCTTGACGTTTCAGCTTGTGTGTCTTGTTCAGTGGTGGTCGTCTTTCAGCCTTTCTTACCTTGGCCATGTCTCTGAGTATTGCACACCTTGTGCTTTTGGGCACTCCAGTGATGTTGCAGCTCTGAAATATGGCCAAACTGGTGGCAAGTGGCATCTTGGCAGCTGCACGCTTGACTTTTCTCAGTTCATGGGCAGTTATTTTGCGCCTTGGTTTTTCCACACGAAGCGTGTGGAAAAACCAAGGCTGCAACCCTGTTGACTATTTTGAATGAAACGCCTGATTGTTCGATGATCACGCTTCAGAAGCTTTGCAATTTTGAGACTGCTGCATCCCTCTGCAAGATATCTCACTATTTTTGACTTTTCTGAGCCTGTCAAGTCCTTCTTTTGACCCATTTTGCCAAAGGAAAGGACGTTGCCTAATAATTATGCACACCTGATATAGTGTGTTGATGTCATTAGACCACACCCCTTCTCATTACAGAGATGCACATCACCTAATATGCTTAATTGGTAGTAGGCTTTCGAGCCTATACAGCTTGGAGTAAGACAACATGCATGAAGAGGATGATGTGGACAAAATACTCATTTGCCTAATAATTCTGCACTCCTTGTAGTTAATAATTTTGTCATGACCAAAGGCAACAGAGCTGCCATATACCTTACTCTGTGTATGAGAGCTCCTGATCTCTGCCCGTTCAAAGTCAGCATACTGACTTTGTAATTTGTACTCACTATTAGCTAAAAATACACACGTGTACCCTCGCAGACAATGGCAGAAGTTGTGAATTATAAGAAATCTGATATGCATATAAGTGTATATCTCCTTCCAGCGAACAACTTTAAAAGAACGCCTGTTTCCTCCAGCACCATTAAGGGCCTCACCCTCAGCTGGAGTCCTGACAGCTTATGACAGACGAACCGTGCAGAGTACCCGCTGATCAGACAGCGTGATTACACCATACATCACAGGTTCCTAAACACAGGCCTCCATCCTGCCTAAACGCACCAGCATACGGGGCAGTTAAACACATACAAAGATTTGTATGTGTCTCTGTGTTCAGACGCTGAAGTATAACTGTGTAGTCTAAACTTAGTCACACATGGTTATTGCTCAAGAATATGAGTATTTTTAGCTCATTTGCAAACTTTGTGCCATAGGATTACTGTTGCAAAACCTTTTTTTTCTTACCCCAAAAAGTACCTCTTTTTTTCACCCCTCCTTTCTGTCTTTTCCTCTCTTTAATGTTGAAGTCTAGACAATTTATTGGAGAATAACTTGTCAGGGAATGCTTTTTTCTGTGGCTCACTTTACTGCATTAATGATTCATACACATTTAAAATAGCTTTCCACAGTTTATCACCGTGGCCCCATCTCTTCATCAGCAGGTTTGCATGAATTTTCCCACAAGTGTGTGCATGTTTTGGATGTAACATGACGAGCGCACACAAACATATCTTTGTGTGCGCATATTCATATCTCTGTGTGAGTATATGTTATGATGGGTGTGTGGGTATGTGAGTGTGTGTGTGTCACGATGGGTCTGTGTCTTTAGGCAGACTTCAGTGTGTCTGGCTGGCTGATCGTAACTCACTGGGAGGGAAAGGCACACATCTCGTTCTGGAAGCTTTCAGTCACAGATCGTATACAGCCACTTTGGTGTGCATACCCTCTCACACACACACACACACACGTTCAGCTTGTACAACCACTGAATTAAGGTCTAGATAAGATGAAACTTTGATCCAGTCGGATAGTTGGTGCACAGAGGAGCACACACAGGTTTGTGCTTATAACACACATTTTCTGTTAATTGGCATGAAATGATTCTACTCAGACAACTAAAATATGACGAAGCTCACTGCACACTTGTTGTTTAGAGATTTTGCAGTTACTGATATCAAAATATTTGCTAGAATACATGCTGTAATGTAAGTGATGCATAAGATTGTGTGATTAGGCTTATATATGATGAGAGTTTGAAGCTTGTGCCCTTTTGTACTGCAGAAGCTTGAAGCTGTGTTACAGTGATAATCTTCCATACCTGAATACTTGTTTTTTTTACCCTTTTTCTCACTCAAATGTGAAGTCACTGTCTTGTTCCTTCTGTCCTGTTGTCTTTCTGCATCAGTCAGATATTTTACTCCTTTCGGTTACCTCACAGTTATTGAGAAACCTACTTTTTATTCAGATGCCTGCAGCTGTCTTGGACCGAAGTAGGGCAGGCTAGTACGCAGATGAACCAATGCAAATACAGATACATGCGCAGAGTGAGAGCTAGTAAGAAGTAGGGCAGACAAGCAGGCAGTATTACCAAAAGCCCTTGGATATCAGGGGCAGGCTGTCCCAGAGGAGCATCATGTCATAACAGTCCTGATTGCACACCATTTAGGAATGCCTGCAGAGTTAACCTTTCAGTGATGAGGGGTCACCAGTGATGTGATCACTAACCCCTCTGATGCTTCCCTGCCAACTGCATATACACACTCTTGCATTCATTCTCCCCTAATGCCATCTCTGTACGGTGTGGGATAATTGCCCACAAATGCTCCTTGGTGGCTATTAGACATGGAAGATTTACTCTCAAGCCAACCACTTCAAAAAATATTGTATCCCACTAAAAGCTTGAGATGCTTCAGTTCCCTTGTGTTTTCTGCGTTGATTTCTTTTTCCTGCATTATCTGAGGTAACTCACTTTATCTGCCTGCCTCTGTCCAGGTGCAGTACAGCGATGCGCAGAGTGGTAAGGATTTTGTGACCTATCTGACTCTCTCCCCTGTGCAAATGACTTTCCACGGCACTGGGAGCACCCTCCAAGCCAGCCATGACCAGGTGAGTCTGCTTAGATGCATTCAGTATTGTGTAAAAGTTGTATACAATAACAGTAAAGTGAGGATGCTTTTAAAAAATATGCCCATTCTTTTGTTTGTTTTGTTTTTGTGGTTATCAATGAACTGAATGTAAAGTACACTAAACAAAAAACCCACAACATCCATGCTTTATTAAAGCACAAGTTAGCAGTTTACCTCTGGAGTCAATTACTTTATGACCTTTTTAAGGGTCCAGTGTAATGTGTTAAAACATCAAAGTCAAACTCGGTGTTTCAAACAAACTAACAATCAAGGCCATTGACTACCAGCTTCAGTGTTCTGCAGAGAAAGTCATGTCAGTCAAAGAAGTCCAGTCGCTTTGAGGAGACTGATAACATGATGTAACAAATCCATAACAGACCCTGCCATGTTTTCATGCTCTCCAGCATACTTCTTTTATTAACCGGTTGCTGTTACAAACACATGGCTGCAGCTTTTCGGCTCACAGCCGAACATACACACCAACAACAACAACAACAACACAGTCAGGACACAGCACAGATTTTAATGCACGGGAGGCGTGATGAGCTGATGCAGCTCTGGTGTGTCAGCCTCCCTGCAGCAGTGCTACAGAGCACACCCCGCCACATACCCCCATCACCCGACTGAGTCTTTTTTAAGTTGCTTAAAATGTATTTTGATGCATCCACAGCAGTATGACGCTTCTGTGCTGATCCTTGTGTTTACTTTGTCAAACTGGGGGGTTTCCTACCATAACATATTTTAAGAAGTACATTGACTATAGATATATCCACTTTAAAAAAACTGAAATATATTTCTTCCTACGTTTATATATTTATAAAGCGCTCTGAGTTGACCAAATCTTCCTGTGGACTGTAATCAATGACCCTTCATGGCAATTAAATTGGATTTTTATGGCTCCATAACAGTGACCGCCGTGGCCCGAGCGTTTATGCTTTTGGTTGCCTGTCCATCCAAATCTGGTGAACATGATATCTCTTGGATGGCCTTGATGTATTTTAGTCACATTTGGCTCAGATGGTCACTTGGACTAAAGTCAGGGCTGAATAGATTTTGGTGGTCAAAGTCCAAGGTCACTGTGATCTCAAGTCTACCCCTTGTGAAGGGGATATCTAAGACACCTGCAGAGTGTTCATTACAAATGACACTACATCTGGCAAAAATGTGTACTTGGACTCATGGACAAACTGATTTTTAAATCTGGTGGTCATTGGTAATGGTTACATTGACCTGACCAAAAAAAAAAAAAAAGTTTTTTTCCAATGTAAGAATTAATTTGACAATTGTAAAAACATTTCACAGAAATATGAAATAGCAAGAAATGAAATAATGATATTTTATAGTTAGTTCGCTGGTTAGCAGTGCTACAGAATCAGTACAATCAAGTTGGTTTTTCCAGTTGAATCTAATACTGATAGTCATGCTTGTGAAAGATAACATATCAAATATTATAAACAGATACTTGTAATAATCAAGTATCTTATTAAAGACATTTGACAGTTAAATCAAAGACTTTATCCATCCAAAAATCGGATCAAGAAGTTGAGTACATATTAAACTGTAAATATCATTAGCTAATCTTGATTTTCTATTATTTTTTGCAATAATAATAAAAAATAAACTGCAACTGTCCCACTATGTTATCAGATGGGCTTCTTTTCCTGGTGCAGTCAAGTGTACCGTATGCTGTATATGGTGTACTATATAGGACGTATTGTGAGACTTTGACAGGTCTCATCCTCAAATTAACAGAGAATCTCTGCTTTTATTATTAATCACCAGGGTGTTAGACCCACCCATGTTAATATTCACTCACTGCATTTCTTCCCGACAGCTTTAGTTTTTCTATCCATCAAAAATAATCCTCATCCACAAATCTGATTAAACTTATGGCAGACCCTGTCATTCTCTCTCCCTCCCTCCCTCTCTAGTTTTCTCGCTCACTCTCTTTCGCATACTCACTGCATTCAGAAGGAGGTTCTTTGTCTTGTGTTGCCCAAGCAGAAAACCAGTTGCTTACAATCTATCATCTAAACATAGGACGCCTCTTTGTTCAGCAGTCTTCAAAGCTTTAATAAAGGGCCTGGTCGGCCCCGATTGGGCCAGCTGACAGGGGGATAGTGTCGCCACCGCTAACTGAGAGCCAGGCCAATATAGGCCAGGCAGGTCTGCGTCCTTGGGACCTGTTGTTGCCAGGAGCACTGGGGCATGACCGACTGTTAGAGAAAGCCTTTCTTTTCCTCTTCTCAGTACAGTGAAGAGTATGACCACAAAGGGAGCACCTAACAATAAGGGGTTACCCCCAGCAGCCCTTCAGTCCACAACACTTTAACAATTCTGAAGGCATCACACATTTGGATGGCTTTACCATAGACCATTTTCCATCACAGGAACTAGCAGGTCATATTAGGGTGTCATGCTCCTTTTTTACATGTTCCAACCATGGAAGCTATCCCTGTATGACCTCTTTATGGGCTGTTTCCGTGGTGGGAAAAAGTATAAATTCCAGGATAAGTAGCTCTGAGCGCCCCTGAAGTACTACTAGGCAAGACTCAATGCTGAGACAGCACTTTAAAAAAAAACAAAAAACAGTAAGGCAATGCAACAATCAGCAACACAACAACTATATTTGTTCCCTCAGTCATCCTGTTTTTATGGACTCACAGTTCCATACTTACATCAATGACGTCAAATTATTTAAATGTTAGTTAAAGCAAAATTATGACGTCACATGTGTGTCTTGTTGAAGCCCTGTTACAATTGAAGCAGAAAAGCTGAAAGAGCCAATTAGTCAGTTCCTGTAAACGTGCGTGTCACTTAGTGGCTGCACCTGACTTACTTATAAGTTATTGTAAAAGGTCTCCTAGTTCATTTTAGGCATGCGCTTTCATAAATTCAGATTGATTTGCCAATTACTAAGTGAGTGAGTGAGCTATGTGTCCCCTAGGCCAAATGCCTCAGCACCCACTCACAGGCACTCTCATCTCACAATTTAATATGTACATTTAAAGATTGTAAATCTGATGAGATGGAACTGGGAATCTCAGCGCTAAGACCTGATAAAAAACTTTTCCTGGAGCCTCTCTCTGTTGCTGCACACACAAAATTACCACAGTGACATGCGGTGACTCAATTTATGATCTCGCTGGGAATTTCCTGCAGTGTTATCCGCACTCTGGTGGAGGTTTATGTCTACTAGGCCAGAGTAACTGATAAAGATCCACAGCCAGAGGAAATCCTCTCCATACTTCTCTGCCCATGATGTTAAAGGAAAGATATGCATGATACAGAGTACAGTTATGAAGGAGTTTGCAAACACAAAATAGAGTTGAAAAAACCCCATAGTACTCATTTTCTATTTGTGTTTGCATGGTTCTGGCATTTCAGGCTTTACTTAGGTTTTTGAACAAGCGCATGTCCATAAATGAGGTGTTAAATAAAAGGAAGATTAGTGATTAGGGTTTAATGATAGATTCCTTTATTTAATATGGAGGAACAGCTTAGGCACACATGAGCTGAGAAATCAGATATAATGTATTCTTTTAAAAGTACCATAACCCTGTTTTCTAAGTCACATAAAAGCAAGGATAAATTAACATGTTATTAAGATCAGGTGTATCAGGTGATCCTGAACCCTCCCTTAGTTACTCTGTAATAGCCTAGGCTGCTGGGGGCTTCCCATGATGCACTGTTTCTTCTTCTCTCACCTCTTTTCAGTCTCTGTGTTTGTTCACCACTCTGCATTTAATCATTAGGTAATTTTAATCCCTCTCTCTTCCTTGGTGTGTCTTTTGTCCTTTCTCACTCCCAGCTAGTTGTAGGAGATAGGTGCCCCTTCGTGAGCCTGTTTCTGAAAAAGGTTGCTTCCTGTTAAAAGGGAGTTTTTCCTTCCTACTGTTGCCAAGTGCTTGCTCACAGGGGGTCATTGGATTGTTGGGGTTTCTCTTTATTGTTCTATAGTCTTTACATGATCAAAAAAGCACTGTGAGGAGACTGCTGTTGTGTTGTGGTTTTATACTGTATTAATTCATTTTAGTTAAATTAGATTTGCTTGGTTAAATTCACATTCAAACAGCTTTTATCTCACTTCCAAAAACAAACAACAGGCTCCGTAACATACTGTATTTAGACATATTTTTGATAGGACTACATGCTTTCTGGATAGGCTGATTCCTATGTTTGTTCTTCAGAGCTGAACTAACTCTTCTGGCAGTCCCTCTGTGGCGGCAGTGGGACACCAGGGGGGCCGAGGCCCTCTGGTCTGAGTGTAAGGTGTCGCTGGTCCAACATGAGTGGCCTGCAATCGAAGATGACAGGGTGACTGTTGTCTGCCACCAGACTCTTGTGTGTGTCTATGTGCATTTGGTTGTGTGTGGGATTGCTTTGCGTGCAGTAATGTCCTCAGCTGAGCCACCCTGGGTCCCAGGAGCCCTGTCTCCCAGATTGTCAGCTGTGACTGCTTGGGTTTCCTGCAGCAAAGGCACTTTTTGGCTGATTTGATGTGACACATTGACTATAATCTGTTAGGATTAAAATGTGTTGCAGACATTCTTTCAGGTAATGAGGGCCACTTTTTTCTGGATTTGTTTGGTTATTAAGTTGTACCAGGTTTTCCAGATATTCCTTAACAATTTATCATGAAGCTGTGAGGCAAAGTTTTGCATAAAGTGGTTCATTATTTGCTGAGCCAGTGCTATTATTCCCAATTCATTCCACGCCAGGGTTACAGTAGGTAAACACTGTTTTCTTGCTCTCTTGACCATTTTTGTTCGTTTATACCACAGAAAATGTAACAGTTCTGGTAAAATTGACTGGGAATCTGATCGTGCTCTGGCAGAGCAATGATATTGGAACAAAGGATGAAAGGGCAGAGCTATAAGGAGCCCGTTTAGGGACTCTAAATGTTACACACATTCCTGTCTTTGTTTACATGAAATGTGTTGAAAAGGCTTGGATTCATGTTTGACCCAAGTGAGTATG